CGCTAGGTCCTAGAAGACGGTCCTTGGGAATAAAAGACGGGATCAGTTTCGCGCATGGTGTACATTACTTGAAAAATATTCTGCGTATGCTTGTAAGGTACACCAACAACTTCTGCAAACAGGTGATTAGATATACTGGAAGCCACAGACTCAATCCCGCATACAGGCGGTTCAGGACATTGGACGAGATTAATCGCGGAGATGGTAGTCTTGCTCGTCAACATTTTAAATGACCAAGCAATCTTTTCCCAAATTTCGTATAATTTGAGGAATCATAAACGAAACAAACAGAGCCCTTGAATTTATCAAAATAAAAAAAAATTACCACGCTAAAAATGAGTTAGGAAAGGATTGCACTATTAGGCTTATCAGTGCAAGAAGTGAGTGAAAAATAAGCAGGACGATGGGAGTTAGTAGTCGGAAAAGCAGCTAAAAGATAAACGAATTGATGAACTTATCAGTCAAAGAAGAGAGTGTTAAGCAAGAAGGTACGAATAAACAAAAATAAATTGCGGTGTGATGATGATATATGTGAAAAAGTAATAACAAATATGAAAAAAACATGTGGTTCCGGTGCAAAATTATACAGTTGTCCGTTATACAGCAGCAAATTCTCTCCCCACAGAAGATGAAAAGACATATGATGAGTCATACAGCGAAAAGTTGTCTGATTTCAAGATATCAAAAAAATGTTTGCTCAAAAACTACACTTGCAACGTTACTCATTATTATCAAAAAATTATCATTGTTATTATTACTATTGTCTAAGATTACTATTACTGTTATTATGCAATTAAATCAGAGTTGATTTTTTGAAATATTTCTGCTATGACGGCATACAAAATGTACTTGCAGCTTTTTCCATTTCTTCTACTTTCAAAACTACTATTCTGAACTGTTTTATAAAATTTAATTTGAAGATAATAGTTTGATTTTGACACTTAACAATTTTGACTTCCCGTCAGAGCAATCTGATGCTATTATAATACAGCCTTCAATAGGATTATTTACATTATGTTTCTGCGACATTATGACTCTGCGATTGAGGTTTATTAATAGAGGAAGGAATATTCTTAGTATACGATCGAATCGAAACAGACACAATTAATAAAATGAATCATTGATCTTCGAATAAAAGTTCCGCCATTTATACCAAGAATATTTCTTAGTATACTGAAAGTATATAATATTGTTCCCATAAAATTGTTATCATAATATATTATTAGTATACAATGTAGTATATAATATTGCTTTATAAAATCACCATAATATATTATTAGTATATAATATTATCACATTAAAAAGTAATAATAATAATAATCTTCTTCTCTTTTTCATTCTTTTTAACTTTTTACGTGCTTTATTTCTGCCTGAACAATTTGATGAAAATCCATTCAGTTGTCATTTAGAATCTGAAAACTGCAGTTATATTTAATTAAATATGTATTGTAGATTTTTTTTTGTATTCAAACTCGAAACGCTATTTGTTTTCTTTTAGACACAAAAACTCGACTAAAAGCTGTTTTTAAGATCATATTTTATTGAGAAATCTCGATGCAATAATCTCATTTTTTACGACATTTTAAATGTCCTCAGAGATAAATTCCAATACAATAGTCGAAATTATTAATATAAAAACTTCTGTCCAAATAAAAAAGCACCAGTTTATGTCTAGAAAAAGAGCTAAAAAGTCAAAAGTTAAAAACCTGAATTTTGTTGGAAGTTTTGCATACATAAAGGATTTTGAGCAAATCTGACCAAAATCGCAGATTTTGATGCTCGTAATCATCTCATAGACACTTATCTCGCTTTTCTTCAGAATACGCCT